TCGAGCTGGGCAATGAGATAGAGGCTCAGTGGAAACCTGAGATAAGACTCAGACTGGTGGCAAAGGGGCTACTTGATGCTGAGTTCCAGTATACAGGGTGAGGTTACTTCCATCCTTCCTGTCTTAGGACAGGTGTAGCCTGCAGGAGGGAGGGAAAGTACTCCACCTATATGAAGGGAGGAAGGGGCACAGAGGGTGGGATCCAGGCAGAGCCTGACAAGCTTTAGTTCAAGCTGTGCTTTAGCCTTCCTGACACTCTTCTTACAGGTTCTTAGATTCAGCCTTAATTGCAAGCTCTTGTTTCCATCTTTTTCCTATGACCTTTTAAGATCTGAGCTTAACAGAAAGCTCCCTGTTGTAACCATATTGGTCTCTTCAAAAGGCTCCCACTTTTTCTTCTTCCTAATTGTCAGAATTTCACAGTGGAAAACCTTCTCTTCCTCCTTCTACCCCAAGTTGTCTCCCCCCTACCAGGTTTGGGGACACTCTATCACTCTTGCTGGGCAGTCTGGGTCCCATCAGAAGTGATCCACTCTTATCCTCCAGCTTTAGCCTCTGCTACCCTAGAGCAGGCAGAGAAAAAGGGCTGGGAGGAAGGCTGACCAGGGCCCACCGGTTCTGGGGAGCAGCAGTCCCCTTCCCCACCTGGCTATTCTGCCCCAGGGGCCTGACTAGAGGCCAGTGCCTTCCCTTCCCTAATCCCAATTTCTTGTGTCCTCTAGAGCGAGAGAATGAGAGCTTGCTCTGACCACTGGTATGCTACCACTTCTCCTTTTGTGTACAGCAGGTACTGTGTAGGTAAGTTATTGTTATATTGTGCTCCTGTGATAAATGGACCTTTGTGAGACACTTTGCGCCCTGTGTATGCTGGGGGAGGGAGGGAGTCTTGCCTGAGTGACTTCTCACAGAAAGCTCCAGAGGTGCTCAGAGCTGAGAGCCTAGGCCTGGCAGGCTGCTCTTTCATTGGCATTCAAGGGTGTCAATCACTGTGGCCCTGCCAATCAGCTCCGAACCAGGTATCTGTAAGCGATTAGCCTTCTTTGTTAAACAGAACACTGAACCCTCCAAGGACTAAACAAAGAATGGCTCTGGAAAGACAGTTCCTAGGGAGGCAGGGGCAGTCATGCCAATGTCACTGACTTGAACCCTTTGGTTTCATCTTCCTTCAGGCCCTACTTTATTCCTTGCATCTAGGCCAGTCCTAGGTCCTTTTAATTCTACCTGTCATTTCCCTCCCATGTGTATTTCTTCTCTTTACCCCTACTGCTGCTTTGTTTAGCCCTTAACACCTCTCATCTGAACTACTAACCAGTCTCCTAACCAGTTTCTTTGCCTCAAGTCTCCCCCAGCCCCTACCCAATCTCCATCCTGCAGCCAAATGAATCTTCTAAAAATACAAATCTGATTGTGTCACCTCCTGCTGAAAACCTTTCAGCCTCTTCTGTGGCTCTTAGTACCCCTGGGATAAAGTCCAAACTACTTAGCACGGCACCCAGGGCCCTTCATGACTTGGCTCCTGCCAAATCCTCAGCCTCATTTTTGGCAGTGCTCCTATTTCACACCTATTCACAATGAACTACTTTGCAGGTTTCTGAACATGCCATTCTTGGCTTTGCTCCTGGGCCATTACACATGACATTCCCTCTGCCTGGGACATCCTTCACACACCACCTTCTCTTCTATCTGTCTAGCCAATTCTTACTCATCCCTAAGACTTCAACTGAACTCCTTCAGCCCAAGACATATTTTACTCATGCCCATATCTCTGATGCCTAGTACAGCATCTGGAACATAACGGATCCTCAAAAGGTGTTTGCCAAATGAGTGAATGAATGCCCCCAACTCATGCGGCTGTGTGCAAAGTTGTCTCTGAGGGAAGCCGGCAGAGTTGATCCGTCCTTTCCCTTACGGGAGGAAAACCTCTCCTTCCTCCCACTCATATTAATCCTTATTGCACAGGGTTGCAATTTCTTCTTTAAAATGTCTGCATCCGGGTGCCTGGGTGGCTCAGTCGTTAAGCGTCTGCCTTCGGCTCAGGTCACGATCCCAGGGTCCTGGGATCGAGCCCCGCATCGGGCTCCCTGCTCGGCGGGAAGCCTGCTTCTCCCTCTCCCACTCCCCCTGCTTGTGTTCCCTCTCTAGCTGTCTCTCTCTCTCTGTCAAATAAATAAATAAAATCTTAAAATAAATAAATAAATAAATAAATAAAAATAATTTTAAAAATAATAAAATGTCTGCATCCCAGGGCGCCTGAGTGGCTCAGTTGTTAAAGCGTCTGCCTTCAGCTCAGGTCATGATCCCAGGGTCCTGGGATCGAGTCCCGTATCGGGCTCCCTGCTCAGTGGGAAGCCTGCTTCTCCCTCTCACGCTCCCCTTGCTTGTGTTCCCTCTCTCGCTGTCTCTCTGTCAAATAAATAAAGAAAATCTTTAAAAATTTTTTTAAAAAATAAAATGTCTGCATCCCTAAATCAACTGTGAGCGTCTCAAGGGTGGAGCCATGCCTACCTAGTCCCCTTCAGTCTCCTACCTATTCCCAGCATAGTACTTGGAACATAATGAATGAATAGGCCTCCCAAATGCCTGACAGTTTTGTTCCTTCTCTCATATCCCTCTACTCCCTTCCCCATAAGCTCTCACTACCAATACAGCCAAACTGTCACACTTGTGGCTTCAGGATCACACAGGGCTCCTCCTCATCCCTGAAACATTCGACTGCATTCCTCTTAAGTGGACCGCCCTTCCCACCCCCACCCAAATCCTGCTATTTCTTTAAGAACCAGCTCAAATTTTCACTCTTCCAGAAACCGTTCATGCACCCACCCCAGTCCACCCCGAATAGTGCTAGTGATCCCCACCTATCTCATTTAACCCTTGGTAGCCCCTCGTGTTAGGGGAAAACCAAGACTCAGAGGAAGAAAGGACTCTTTCAAGGACACATGTTATGCTCAGTGGTAGAACTATTGCTTGAACCCAAGTCTCCAGCCCATGAATCCTCCCATTAGCCAACTTACCTGCTTTCTTTTCCTCCTGTAGACTACAATTTCCTTTAAGGCAGGACTGTGTCTTCCACCCTTTCATCTTTCCTGGTCTTTCCTGGAGTGTTAAGAGAGCTCTAGAGCCAGACTGCCTGGGTTTCTGCCTTGGCTTCATCGGTTACCAACTCTGTGGCCTTAGGCAACTTAACCACTGTAAACCTCAGCTTCCTCATAGTAAATGAGGATAACAATAGTGCCTATCTCATAAGATTATTGTGAAGATTAAATGAAATAATGCGCGTAAGGCACCCAGAGCAGTAACCTAGCACCTGGTATACGCTCAATAAAGGCAATTTTCCTTATTGCTGTTATTCTTAATATTAACACATTTTTACTGGTGATGGTTGACTAAAAATTTGAATGGGGGAGTTACTGGGAGTGGGAGGGAGTGAGGAAAGGAAGTAGACAACAAGACCAGTCTGAGATTTGGTGGAATCCAAACAAGGTTAGTGGCGTGGCAGGACGTTTGTACGTCTGAGTTCCTAGTGCCATGTGACTCTGTGAGGGCCCCAAGCACATGGTTCCATCCGGGCGGCGCAGCTTCCCTAACTCTCAGCTATTCTCAGCAGCCTGTAGGGGGAGCCAGGAAGCTAGGAAGGGGGAGAGGCTGCTGTAAATCTTACTAAGGGCAGAAACGACACCCTATCTCTACTACCCATCCTTAGCCCACCGTCTTGCCCCCCCTCCAGGGCGCTCTCTGAGCCCAGTCCTCTGCGGCAGCCGAGCTGGGAGCTGTCCTTCAGCACCAGGGGCCGCCTTGGCCTCGGGCAGGGCAATGAGGGCGGCTGCTGAGTTAGGGACACGGGACTGGTCCGATCCGCAGCCGGCTCCAGCATCGCCTAGTCACGGGGACGGGGGAGGCGACCCAGGGAGGCTGCGAGACGCTAAGGAGAAGCCTCCTGCCTCCTGCCATCAAGAATCACCATCAGAAGTCCCCTAGCCCTCGGGGGGCGGGGTAGTGAGCGGCCGCCCTGGCGAGGGAGGCGGGCGCCCAGGTGGGAGGGGGAGGGAGAGCGCCGGGGCCTGGGACTCAGCGTGTGGCGTGTGCACGCGGGGAGCGGGCGGATGAACGGAGGCGCTGAAGTGAATGGAGTTGGGGGTGGACTGGAAACATCCCCAAACAGCACAGGCTGCGGCCGGCGGGGGTTGGGGGGGGGGGGCGGCGAGTCCTGAGGCGCAGGCGCAGTCGGGGCCCCAGTCCCGCTCCCTCCTCCTCTCAGTGCCTCTTTCTCCGCCCCGCTCCCCCCCAAACACACTCGCACACGGGCTCTCAAGGTGTTCTCCGCACAGCGGAAGATGGCGACAGACTGAGGGGGCATGGCCAGCGGGAGCCACGGGGCCGTGCGGCTCGGCGGCCGCCACAGCGGTGCTAACGGGAGACGGAAGCGAGAGGCGCACTAAGTGAAGCCCCGTGTCGGCGTCCGGCGCCTGTGGCGCCGCCGGGAGCCAGGTGGCCCGCCCGAGCCGGAACTCCGGGAGCAGCAGGCGCGGAGCCGGAGCGGAGCCGGCCCGGGACCGGCCCGGGCGAACGGCCAGAGCGCGAGCGAAGCCCGAAGGGCCGGGCAGCGGGCCGGCCGGCGGGCCTAGGAGGGCGCGAGCGAGGCAGGGAGCGGCGCGGAGCAGGCAGCAGGCGGGCGGGCTGACGGGCGGGCGGGAGCGGCGCGGCGCGGGGCGAGCGAGCGGAGCGCGGTGGCCGGGCCCGCACGGCGGCGCTGAGGGGCGCAGAGCTGCGCCGAGCAGAGACGGCCAGAACAGAGTGCGAGCCGGGCGGCCGCCGGCGCGGAGTGGAGTGGCGCGGAGCCGAGGGCAGCTGAGGGGCCCGACACTATGAGGAGTGCGGCGCCGCCGCCGCAGCCGCCACCGCCCCAGTGCCCCGCACCGCCCCCCGCCGGGACGCCGGGCAGTGCCTAGCGGGCCGGGCGGCGGCGCCCGGGCTGCCAGCGAGGGAGCGCGGGAGGAGCGCGGGGACGGCACGAGAGCACCCCGCGACTCTGGCCTGAGCGGGGCCGCGGGCCGGCCGGCCTGCCTCACCATGCAGCCCCCGAGGTAGAGCCTGGACGGCGCGGAGGAGCGCTGAGCGGCGCGCAGCCCGCTCGCCCGCCCGTGACGGCCGTCCGGCCTCGCGCCTGCCTGATCCCTCCAGCCCGGACTCCCCTGAAATATGTTCAGGGGCGCTTGGATGTGGCCCGGGAAAGACGCCGCCGCGCTGACTATCTGCTGCTGCTGCTGCTGCTGGGCTCCCAGGCCGAGCGACAAACCTTGCGCTGACTCTGAGCGGGCGCAGCGATGGCGACTGTCCCTGGCGTCCCTGCTCTTCTTCACCGTGCTGCTCGCTGACCATCTGTGGCTGTGCGCGGGGGCCCGGCCCCGGGCCAGGGAGCTGAGCAGCGCCATGCGGCCGCCCTGGGGGACCGGCCGGGAGCGGCAGCCGATGCCTCCTCGCGCGGTGCTGCCCCTGCCGCCGCCGCCGCCGCCGCCCAGCGAGCCCAGCGCGCCCCCGGGCACCTGCGGCCCCCAATACAGCAACCTGACCAAAGCCGCCCCCGCTGCCGGTCCCAGGCCGGATTGCGGTGGTGTCCCAGAGCCCACGGGGCTGGACGCAGCTTGCACCAAATTGCAATCTTTGCAGAGACTTTTTGAACCGACTACCCCAGCCCCCCCACTGCGGCCCCCTGACTCCCCTTCCCGTGCCCCGGCCGAGTTCCCCTCCGCCAAAAAAAACTTGCTCAAAGGCCACTTTCGGAACTTCACTCTCTCCTTTTGCGACACCTACACGGTCTGGGACTTGCTGCTGGGCATGGACCGCCCCGACAGCCTGGACTGCAGCCTGGACACCCTGCTGGGGGACCTGCTGGCCGTGGTGGCCAGCCCAGGCTCCGGGGCCTGGGAGGTGTGTAGCAACTGTATCGAGGCGTACCAGCGGCTCGACCGACATGCTCAGGAAAAATATGACGAGTTCGACCTCGTGCTGCATAAATACTTACAGGCAGAAGAGTACTCAATCCGGTCCTGCACGAAAGGCTGTAAGGTAGGTACTGGCGTCCGCGGGCACAACACCTCCCTCGGCGGCGGCGGGAGCGGTGGAGGTGGGACCCGGAGAGAAAAGGAGGTCTGCCCCCCTCTACCCACCTCACCTCCTCCCGTCACCCCCATCGTTCACGGTAGGGCACTAGGAGTGCTACCTTGGGACCCTCCCCCAGAGAGGGGTGCCGCAGGGATTCAGGTCAGTTAACCACCCGGCCAACTTCTATTAATCCCGGGTTTGGGCACCTTGGGACTGGGGCTTCCTGGTGCTCCGCCCCCGCATGAGGAGGGAGGGGTCACGGACAAAGGGGTGGAAAGAGGGATCTGGCAACCCCCAGTCTCCATCCTCAGCCAGCGGTGCCCACTTCCTTTCCGGAGCCGGCATTGAAAGTCCTGGGACTGACTGGTGCCGGCGGAAGGCCAGAAGGGGAAGGAGAAATATTTGGCAACCTAACCCTCACCCTTTGGCCCCTGCCAGTGGATGAGAGGAGAGGCATTCCTGCTGGTGGGGCACTCGGCTGTATTGACCTTACATGACCTGAGGTGGAGCCCAGGGGTGCCTGTCTTCTCCCAAGGAGGGAAGCTGCCAGCCCCTCTTCCCTGATAAAAGGAGTTGGGGGACAGGGCACAGCGGCTCGGGGGAGGGCCACTGTGGGTTGCTGCATTACAAAACTCCCAGTGCCTTCCCAGCACACTGGGGTAGTGGTGGAGGGAAAGCTGGCTGTCTGGCGCTCGGGGACAGGCATCCAGAGGAGAGGGGAGGCCACTGCAGAACGGGCCTGCTTAAGGCAGAGCTGGGTATGGAGAAACTTCTTGACCCTCGGCAGGGTCATTCTGGACAATAGGTGCATGGCGGCTGTAAACATTTGGGACGCGGTGCCACTGCTCTGTTTGCTCAGCTTGGCCAGGTGGCCTGCCTTTGGGAGAAAAGAGACTAGCAAGGTCAAAGGGTCAAGTGAGGAGGAGACCAGGTGGGGTGGTGGCCTCCCTCACCCTGGGCTGAGAGCTGGAGAGGGAGACAGTGACTCCTACCCTCGCTTGTCTCCCTCCGAGGCCTTGGGGAGGGGCAGAAAGTGCCCCTTTCCAACGAACGTGCCCCCTGTGCACTTCTTCAGGGTGCCACGCTCTAGGTGGGCTCCTTAAGGATTTGGGCAGGGGATTGGGGAGGAAAGGGGTAGCTCCTTGCTCCTGACTTCACTTTCTCATTCTCCTTTTTCCTGTTCTCGTAACCTAGCAGTCGCCCTCCCGCCTCCCTCAGCCTCAGCTGACTCACTGCCTCGCTCACACTACCAAATGAGGTATGCCACTTCTTAAAGGTGTACAGACAGATAGACAAACACACAGCCGTACAGCACCGCCACCCCCCAGGCAAAGTCATGCAGAGATAGAGAGAGGTCGTCACGCCCACAAACAGCGCCAGAGAGGCAGACACCCTGTCACACACACGCCTCTCTCCCTACGATGCCAGAGACACACAGAGAGGCGGAAGAACTGTCACACGAAGAAGGACACATTTTGTCATAGAGAGACACACACACACACACACCCTCGATGTCAGTCACAGATACACACTCAGGGAGAGCAGAGGGATGTGGTCCACAGCAGGGAGAATAAAGGATGTCTCTCTCGGTGGCCCTCCTTCCAATCCCGCGGCCCCAGTCATTTTCCTTGCCTTCGGCCGCCAGGATGACCGAGAGACCACACCACAACTTGCCCATGGGTTTGTTTTTTTTTTTTCCCCCCACGTTGTGGTTGGCTCCAAGCTCTGTCTGGTCTCACGCTAAGTAATAACCCCTCGTATTAATTATTTTGACCAAGCACTTTGATGGAAGAGAAAGACAACTGATGTCTTGGATGCAGGAGGCCTCATCACCTCTACCACTTGTTAGCAGTGTGACCTTGGGCACGGCGCTTCACTTCCCTAAGCTTCCATTTCCTCATTTCTAACACGGGACCCATAATCCTTGCTCTTCCCACATCCTGAGGCTTCTGTGAGACTTCAGTGGGAAGAGATAGCTGATAGCGTTTTGCGGTAATAATATGACACCGGACATTGATGTTATGCTTAGGGTCTTAACATCTCTCACAGATCTTACGAGATCACAACTGCCCAGGGAGGACGGTGATACCAGCACCGTTATCCCCATTTTACAGATGAGGAAACTGAGGTGCAGGGAGGGGGATCAAGGCCGCTTAGCCAACAAGCAGGAGTGCCAGGCCTCCAGCCTGCATGTTCTGCCGAGGAGCGGAGGCGTATGCTTTTGCCATAGGCTCCCATCAGGTCCCCCCTGGCCAGGGCCCTCCCTGCTCTCCTCTGTCTCCTTGCTGCTGTCGCTGTCTGTCGCTCTCTTGCTCTCCCTCCCAAGTGAACTCTGCCTGCTCTCTTGCTGCCCCTGTGCTGGGAGGAGGCCAGTGCCTGCCTCCTCCGGGGGGTCTCCCTCTCCTCTCCGGCGCTCACTCCCTCAGCCGAGGCCTAGACCCACAGGACTCTGGATCGCAGCCGTATTATGGGCACCGAGGGACAAGGCAGCCCTGCTCTGCTCCCACCTGCAGCCCCTCCCCCTTCACCCCACCACTCCACCTCCTTCCCAGTCCTTTTTGCCCATTCCCATGCCTGCCCCCAGGCTCCAAGCCCTCTCCTGTCTAGCCTCTCCCCCAGATGGGATCCCTTGCAGACGACGCCTCATCCTCAAAGCTTCTCCTGGGTGGAGAGCCCGTAGCCCAGGCCAGGATGAGGAGGCTTCCTCTGACTTCCGGAAACCAAGTTTGGAGGCTCTGCTCCGGGCCCAGGTGACCCCCATCCCTGGGGCCCTGTCCTGAGTGTCTCAGTCAGATCGGCCCTGGGCAGCTCCAGAAACCCTGTTCTCTCCCGCGGCAGTGCCTGCCCCTGTTTTGGGCCATGCAGGGCCCCACGAATCATACCTGTCCTCACTGCTGCCTGTGACACCTCCCAATTTAGTACCAGCTGCAACATTTCCTTAATGTGCGACTGACTTCCTCTTGCACAGCAGGGGATGTTAACTTAGGCTGGCCCATGCCCATCCCCACCCTGGCCTCTCCCAGCCCCAGGCCAGAGCTCCACCCGGGGCCCGGACAGCCCCGAAGCCCTCACCTCCCCTTCCCCTTCACCCCCCTTCCCAGCCCTGCCTGACAGCCACCTCCCCCCTCCACACACACAGCCCTCCATCCTCCCAGCCCTGCTGTGCCCCTGCCTGGTTCCCATCCCCTGTTCCCCCCACCTCTGCCCCACTCTGACTCAAAATTTAGGACAGTGTGACTACAGGGAGTGGTGGAAATGAAAACAAAACCCTGGCTTCTTCTCTCATAGTTCTGATCCAAGAAGGGCTAGAAGCCCAAGAGAAGGACAGGTCACTCTCTTACCGGCCACAGGGCCACAGAAGTAAAGGTTGGTGCCAAGGAAGGATGTGATAGTTCTACTCTGCTCTGGACAGGCCCGAACCCACCTGGCACACTGTGCGTTCCATTCTGGATCTCACACTGAGCAGGTGGGGAGGAGGCTGGAACCCAGGTTCTCCTGGACAGAGTTGAAGGAGTTGTTTCACCTGGAGAAGAGGAGACACAGGAGGATGTGGTCTCTGACTTCAAACCCCAGAAGAGTTGTCATGGTGCAGAAGAAGCATGCCGGGCTGAGCCCCATACGGACTTCGTAGTTCGAAAGTCCTGGGGTCAGACCCAGGGGATGATTGGATTTAAATTTAAAAATCATCTCTTCGGCCCCTCCATGTGACCTTGAGCTAGAGACGTCAACTCTCTGAGCCTCACTTTTCTCATCTGTGAACTGGAGCTAATTCATCATAACAGCCCTGTGAGGTCATTAATAATGACAGGTCTGCACAGTACCTAGGCCTGGCACATCGGAGTGGCTCAGTTAGCAGGTTTTTCCTTCCAAAGAGGGAACAGACTGCCCTAGGAGGAAGTGAGCTCCCACTTCCGGCCAACGGCTGGCCTGACTCGGGCAGACCCTTGGAGGAAATGCCATGGAGACGACTCTAACTCCAGGTTATGGGAGGAGTTGGACAGGTGACCTCTGAAGTCTGTTTCAGCGCAGGGTTTAGGCCCGAGAGCCGAGCCTGCTCCCTGAACGGTGGCATTGGATGGGAAGGGCTGGTGGGGGGGCCTGACACCTCCACACAGAGGAGCGGGGACTGCTGGAGCCAGCGCCTCGCCTTCTGCCCGTACCCGCTGGGGCCTTGCTCGGCCTCCACTCCGGCTAGCAGCTGTTTCTGCCTCACTGCCTTCCTCTCTCCTCCCACCTGCCACAGCTTTCCTGCCAAGCCGGACTCCTGGGCTAACACTGATGCTGAGCAGGGAGCTCAGGTCACTGGGCAGAGGGCACATGCTCTAAGGCTCTAAGGCACATGCTCCCAGCTCGCAGGCTGGGAGTAGAGGCCCACAGTCGGCCTCCCCGACCCAGGGTTCTCACGGGCAAAGAGGGTGCCCTGGTCCATGCTGGGGCCGGGGCGGGAGGAAGGGGAAGGCAGTCAAGACGTGGCCTCCTGGGAACCATGGCAAAGCCTCCCCTGGGGAGGAGCCTCTAAATCCACAGAAGCTCATTGCCCAGGAATGTGAGCACTGGGCTTCCGGGAAGAGACGGGAACAGAGAAGAGGCAATGTGTATAGCTCAGCCAAGGATACGGTGGCTTAAATGTGGGAGGGGGAAAGTGACCTCCTGCTGCCTACACCTCTCCAGACCACCTCACCCCCATCCTGACCCACCCCCACCCCCCATAGTCTTCCCAAATTTTAGCCCACACCCAGCACCCCATCCCCATTCCAGTGGCCCCACAACCTTTGTGATCTCTTAGAAGATCGCCCTAGACCCTTCCCCAACCACACCCCACACCTCACTTGCTAATGCTCACCCCTACACTCCTCCGACCCCCACTTCTCCCAAAAGTTACCTCCAGCCCCTTGCCCCATCTCCCATCCCACCCCACTCCCCTCATCAGCCACCTCTACCCCACACCCCTCCCAACTTTTACC